AAGAAGAGTAAAATGCGCATTCGTAGTATCAATAAAACCGGTTATTCGTTCCAAATAACCAAGAACTAGCTCACAGTTCCGCAAGTAGTACGTAAAAATGCGGAAATTGAGTAGTAAAATAGTAAACCCAAACGCGCGCGCGCAAAACGGGGACGCAAAGCGCATAAAAAAAAGCTGCGAGGAAAGCAATTCAACTGACAAGAGAAATATATACAGAGAGAGAAAATGTGTGTGTGTGTGTGTGTATGTATGTATGTGTGTGTGTGTGAAAGAGAGAGAGAGAACTATTACGTGACTACGTAACGAACGAGCCACTTCGTCGACGAGTCGTTCGAAGTAATCAAGGAATAGAAAAGGTAAACGAGAGCCTTCAAGAAAAGGAAATGCGCTTGGGAAACGAAGCGAGATTCGTGGGGAATCGTGGGATCGAAAAAAAAAGAAAGGAAAAAAACAAAAAGAGCATCAACGACGCGAAATTTGTACACTCGCGCAAATAGACTGCATTTAGGGTATCTAACAGCAGTTCTATGAAAACGCGAATACGCGAAAATTGTGTCACGAACAGTGGAAATGAAAAATGTCAATGATTAATCTGCATGTCTAACGCAGATATAACACTAAACAGGTGATTCGTTCTTCAGCGAGTCGATTCTGTTATTAAGTAATTATTAGTATCCGGTTTGCGCATTATTTATTTCTGTAATAAATTACATATAACATAAACTCTCCCTTGATTAATCTATTATTCTCTCTCTTGCAAATATTACGTTAAATGTAATAAATAAAAGTTTTTCACTTAATTTTTCAATGCATGATTTTATAAAGGCGTAATTTGGAGGTGTTAAAGCCGAAATAAAGAATTTAATGATATTTAAAAAAAGATCTGTTAAAAACTCTTCAACTCTCTCTCTCTCTCTCTGTTATTATTAAAGCTTTACACGGTTTTACAAAGCAATATTACGATGGCTCTTTAGAAATACTTTATTGATGATGATATGAATAGCATCACAGTTACGTGAGCAGCATTAAAATGACGAAGCAGCAGCATTCATAAAAATTAGCTTGAAAGCCGTAAAAAAATGAGAAAATGGTTGAATTGCCGCCCTCTTGCATTTCTTTAATAGAGAAGTTATTCCACTTGTAACTCTTGGCGCTTCGTAATTATGAACTGAATGAATTAAAGACCACATCACGCATAAGGCAGAAACAAATGGATGAAATAAAAAGAAATACATCTTTCAAATGTTCTATTCCACTTCGTATTTATTTTAATCTCGTTGAATAATGTAATATTTCATATCCGCGTCCTAAATACCGTATAAAAAACTATTTATCGCAAAAAAGAATTATAGTAAATACGAAAAAAGTTAATGTATACAAATAAGATTTTTTGCCAGATATTCTCTTTCTCTCTTCAAATGTTTTTATATTATAATATAATTATAATTATAACGTAAACGCAATTTTTTAATTTACGTGAAATGCACACATGTCGTTATTGATTGTTTTTCGCCGAATTATATATTTAGCAGAGAAACATCGACATTACAATGATTTATAAATTCTGCATTAACCATCACATTAACTGGGTCGGCGTTGCAGCGCATGTAATAACTAATTAATTCGGTAGAATAATTTAAATTACGACCTATCTGTCAGTTGGAAATTCGACGACGTCAGCTATTTCATCGGTCATAATTAAATTGGAGCATATGGCGGCCGAAATATGAAGCACGCGAAGCAAGTCGAATTATTTTGTAAAAATTTGCGGAGCCTGCCATGAATTGAATATACTATGAATAAAATGCTTTTCACATCTCGCATTGTACATAATTTTTGTTCGGCGGATGTTTGCCCACATGCGTATGAAATAAATATTTTAAATAAATATTCCTAACTATATATGAGAGGGAAAAAAAAACTTTATATACGCGAGTAGCGGCTGTTTCGTCGGAATATAATTTTCTCGTCGTCCTGCATTAATATAAAAGTTGCAGCATCATGTTTAATTTGAAAAAATGTACTGCTCGATTTCACATCCGTAAAAAACTTGTCAAAACGCGGAAAGTTTCTCTCAACAAATACGCATAATTAATTAACAATTCTCTATTTCTCAAATCGAATTTAACGCAATAATTAACAATAAGTAACAAAATAAATAACAAAGTGTAAAAGAAAAGATTCTCAATGTAAAGAAATATTACTGTATGTTCACGATTAATATGTATTTTCTATTCTCTATTAAACATTTATTTAAAAGATGTATGAATCACCCTTAAGAAATTTTAGAAAAACAAAAATTAATTAAAAAAAAATATGTGGCGTAAATTTTTGTGTTAAATTTTGTATTAAATTATTCTACCAAATAACTCTAGTAAATTCTGGTAAACAATGATTTACCTTGGCTTTAAATTTGCGAAATTTAATCAACATAACATAGTATATAACTAGGCAAAAAATATTACTGAATAATACTACTTTTGCCCGGGAGATTGTAATTTCCTGCATTTCATATCGTAAATTCTTATATCAAGCTTTATGCCATAATATATTCGATGTGAATTTCCAGCGAAATAATCGGTGGACGGATTAAGTAACTCGAAACGTCATAAATATACGCAACCACGTTATAGAAGGCGAGTCTTAAAGATTCATTAATAAGAGGAGATGGCCTCTTTGTACACGACAATTAATCACAGCCTGAGACGCTCGTGCCGAGCTTTATGGAACCGTTAACATAGCCGTCGAGATAACACGAGGAAGGCGACCCTTTTAGTATTTTATTCGCCGACACTTGAAGCTCTCCTTTTTTTCTCATTTTCACGCGCGCCTCGTCCGATCATTTGCGATCCCCTATTTTAACATTTCGGATGCGCTCATCCGATTATAGCGATCCAATAATTAAGGGGAATGGATTCGTAATTGGAGCAAACCTTCGCGATTGTAGAAAGGGGAGAATAAATATTGCGTCCGAGCGCAAGCGAGACGAAATAAATGAAAATGTATCGCTCGAAAATCTTTAATTTGCGAGAAACGTTTTGCATCTACGTTATATGTAACGTTATTCCGTTGTATAAAAGAAACTTGGTTATTTCCTGATAAAAAAGGTAATCCGATGAAAAAAGTATTAAAATATTTTACAGCGTGGCGCCGGAATATTTCACGTTATTAAGAAAATTTTACGGCAGAGTTGATCCTAAATATACATTGATAGGACTAATTATTTTAATTATATTTTTTTAACGTTCAGCTATAAATCATGGGTGGGAGAAGACGATGATGAACTACTCAGTGATAAAACTATGATAATATAAAAATAATTACAAAAATTAAATTATGTAATTATACATAATTAATCAACATCACATCCGTTACATGTTATAATAGCATTTGCGATCGAAGTGAACTTCGATTACATTAGTTCCGCCGAAACTCCGAGATAACTAGTATCTAAACAGGAGTTTCGGGCCTAATCGCGAACACGTAAAATAGCCGATATAATAAAAGTCGAGAGATGAACTAGATCCCAATCTTATCGTAGTACGTAGTCTTAATCGCAGCTTAAACGTTCTCACGATATGCATCCCTATATTGTATTTTTATCTTTAAGTATTGTTAAATGTGTATCGATGATTCTCTCAAGTTGTAGAGGAAACAGAAAGTAGGTTACGGAAGGCTTTTGTATGCATATTCTATCAGAATGCATTTTCGATAGCTGCATGATAGTGTAAGCGTTTTCTATTCTCCGTCGCTATTTCTCTGCGCAATATAACCATCTCGCCTCTTTCTTTTCGTACACGTCTACACGCACTTTGCGCACAAGTAAGTACACTCTATCTTCAACCTTTTTTTCTTATTTGCGCTTATCTAGCATAATGGATAATTGACGTAAGTTACCTTCATTATTCTAGCGAAGCGAGAGACGCTGATTTTAGCGTAATTGTGATCAATTCATATCGATGCATCATGTCGTTGTTACAAATCTATTAGCATTGAGATGAAGTTAGATGAATGAAACGTTTATTTATAAGTATAATGCAAAAGGAAAATTTAAAAATTATCTAAGGAACGTTTGTTTAAAATATTGAAACGTTCTTCAGATATTCTCGCGACATCCTTTAAACGTTCTTTAATGCAGAAATGTGGAAAACGTGTAAGACATCTGGAGATCCAGATGTCTTAGATCCTGCCTTTTGGACACTTTTGTTGCTAAATGTATAGTGTATGCTACTATATACATTATATATATATATATATTTTTTTTTTCTCGTGTAAGTGTGCTTTTCCTTTTAGCTCTGTGTTATCTTTATCCCGATTATTATTATCGAATATAATAAATTCTCTTCGCTATTATTTCTTTCTCAACATTCGCCTTCAGTGTGAATCGCGAGAGATTCCGTGACTGGTATATTCGGATGGCACCGAATCGCCGTGTGTTGTGATTGCGAGTGTATCATCGTGGAGTGTGTGTCTTCTTTCACGCGGAGAGGTTCGAACTTTTCGCCGTACACATCAGGAGAATGCATCTGTACAAATATGATTCCGTGTATCTCGTTTATTATGTCATTCGTTAAACCGAAGGAATTGATGGAGCCTTCGTCTCCGGGGAAAACGAGGTGAAGAAAGTTAATGCACGACACAAGCTACGTACATCATAGATGCAAGAAGATATAAATTGCGAAATACATCAAGCTGATGTCAAGCAGATCTGAAAGCGCAGTGTGCACTTTTGCCTGATAAATATAACATCGGAGCGAAAATCCGTGAAAATTGTATTTGAAAAATGAATTACTCTCTCTCTCTCTCTCTCTCTCTCTCTCTCTCTCTCTCTCTCTCTCTCTCTCTCTCGGAGGGAGTCGTCATTTCTCTTATATATTAAAGCTTCGGGTTTTAAAACATTTTTAGAATACATAATACATTCTCCAAATGTTCGAGTGTGTTTGAACCTCTCCGCGCGCAACCGGAAACGCGCAAGCAGTCGTATAAGCGAATGAAAGATTATTAAATGTATCTGTTGAGTAAAAAAATGAGATGAAAGCATAAGAAGCTTCGCGTAAGAGGAAACGATTACCTGGGCTATGAGCTGAGCTAAAAGAGAATCCGAATGAATAATCTTTCATTCTCAATGAAAAAAGCGGGCCAACAGCGTCGGTCCACGCCATTTCCGTGACTAATCGCCTTCTTTTTGTATTCTTTCTTCGGGGGATTTTCGAAAATACCTCGATTCAGGATCATACTTCAACTGCATCATGTTCATGGTGGCGAGCAGCGTCGTGTTGACCGTTCTGGTACTCAACTATCATCACAGATCGCCCGATAGATACGTGATGCCAAATTGGGTAAGATATATATTTATAATGCAATTAAACATAATATTAATATTATTGTATTATGATATTAAAAGTTATATATAATATATATATATAATTTTAGGGAATATTAGCTTATTCCTCTTTAATTGATAATTAATAACAAACACATCTCTCAAATAATATAAATGCAACGATAAATGCAGTATGCGTTATTAATGGCACAACATTGTGAAATAAATAACAATTTGTCACGAAAATAATTTCGCATACAAACGACTTTAATTTAATTAATTAATTAATTAATTAACACTGATAATGTTAATTAATGTAATTATATTGTAATCATACTAATTATTTATATCTTTGTTTGTAATCTATGCATACGAGTCGCCTGTCAATTGAAATCTTCATCATTGACACGAACTTTGTACAATGGATTACATACGAGTTCGCGAGAAAATTAATTAAATATATAGTCGTGGATATTTCCAACTTGCTTTGAAAACACAGTCTTTGATCAACCATGTAGTAAAATATTTCAGTTGAATAAAGATTAACATTTTAGATACATGAAAATAAGCCGCTTAACTAAACGGATTAGTCGCGATTGCACTTACTCTCGTTATTGTTGTACTCGTATTATACCAAAATCAATTGCAATTTACAAATTTAATTGCTTTTCATTATGCTCGATAATTGAATAAGCAACAATTTTGAAATCGTTAATAATTATAATGTATAATCGTAATAATAAAATAATCGTAATAATAAAATGCGATGATAAATATATCAGACTTTCAGATTGAAGAGAGAGGATGGGACATTATTATTTTCAATTAGATATATTATAACAGATATACAGAATAACACATAATAATAATACGTAATAGCACATAGCAGATAATTATAATCATAATACAAAATTATAGCTTAATCGCAATTATTTAAAGAAAAAGTATAGAAATCAGAAGCCATTAATTTAATTCGAAATAACACGAAATTTTGCAGTTGTATGTGAAAAATCTCTTGAATAATGGTTAGCAATATATTTTGAACAATTTTGCGGTAGTTAGTACGTCCATTAAAAACAGTACTGTATTTCTTGAAAGTTTGAAATGCCTTCGAGGTGTTAGTCGCTCTCGACTCGTTCCTCGGTTAATATAAGTTTCGTCAACACAAAAGAGAAATGCAATCTGAATTCAAACAAACTTTGTTTACAAATCGCTCGTATGTAATAATGCCAGCATAAAATGCATTACATTAGATTTTTAATCCAATGAATAATTCCTTGAGTAAAAAAGAAATACGCTTTTCAGGTATGAAAAGCTTAAAATTGCATTTATATGTATATATGTATATACTGATTAAAAATTTAATAGATTTACCTTCTTTTTGAATTTTCTTTAGAATTTTGCTGTTAAAACTCGGAATATGCAGAATATATTACACATAACTATCAAAATAGCCGCTATCTCGAGATCAAAAAATGATTGCAGGCAGAAATAACATTCTCAAAATTATCGACAGCTATCGCAGCTTGGAAACTCCAATTGTTCTAGGAATTTGCTATTATCCGTTACACCTAATAACCTTAAATAGCATTGTAAATCCCAATATTGTTAAACTTCAAATATGATACGCGCGCCACGTTTAAAATTCTATACTTTCAAATTTCTGAACGATTTTACGTTCTCCTGGCAAAATTCAAGAAACAAAGATGCGAGACGAATTTACTGAAAACTGGGCGAGATGCGATGTAGTTAGAAAGTTTTAAAGAGCTAATAATTTGTTTTCGACGTTTATGCGCAGGTGAAAATACTGTTTCTGCAATGGCTGCCGTGTGTGTTGCGCATGAGTCGGCCGGGCAAGAAGATCACGAAGAAGACCATTCTCATGAGTAATCGTATGAAGGAACTGGAGCTGCAGGAGAGGAGCAGTAAGAGTTTACTGGCGAACGTTTTAGACATCGACGACGATTTTCGCCATGGAAACAGCGCCGCTAATCCTGCCTCAGGCTATATAAGGTATCAACACTCAGTGTTCGCTGTTCAATTTCTCCAACCCGTCGCGGTCGGCGAAAATCCTGCGACGTGAAACAGAGCTTAACGCTTATTTTCTCTGGCCAGTCGCATTATCTCGGTTTTGTTCGTTAACAAGAGCGATTGTTTATTTATTTATTTTTTTTTTCTAGTAACACTCGAACGAGCGAGCGTTATTCGCGGAAAAATAACGGAAAATCGCGTTTTAATCTTGCTGGCGAAAAAAGCACCGGGGAAAACAAAAACCGACACAAACGCATATAATAATCCATTGAGCTATCGAATAAGCGGCGACGAACGCATCGAAAACGGGACGGGATACGTGTTTCCGAATAAATGCACCTTGTTGCGCGTAATTCAACTCGCGTGTTCACTTGCGCCCGACGTTATTTTACACTTTCGGAGGTGTAAGGGGAGGAGGGAGAAATCGAAGACACGATTGCAGATCGATTACGAGACGATACACGGTTCGGTGTTTACTCCGTAATAACTCTGTGAAATCGCCCACACGAAATCTGTCGCGCGCGCGACTGTCATTTAAAAAACGGCCGCAACAGTATAGTTATAGTTATACCGCCTGAAATCGAATATCGAGATTTTCGACCCTCGATAAACGCTGACTCAATCCACTGGACCCCAGGATTTCCGCGTTTTCCCACGGGATTTCTTCGCGAATTTTTTTTTCCTCTCTCTCCCATACCCCAGTTTTCACGAGCCGTTAACAAAATATTCCGTCCTAACATTTTTTCGCTCGACCCTTCAATAACCGCTAAACCAGAGTTTGCCGGACGATTTTAGCCCGACAATCTGTGTTTTTTCCTCCGTCTCCTCTACTCTCCTCTCTATCATGTCCCTACGAAAACTCAATAATGGAAATGCCTATAACTATTACTCCAATTCGAATGCACGGCTTACAAATAATTTTCATGCTCTAATTCTCTGTTCAAATTTATACAAAAATATAGTGTTCATTGGACTTTACATAAAAAATAGTAATTTTACAAGTGTATTATTTGAAATGAGAGAAGCTCAAATAATGTAAAATAACATAACAAAAAAAGAATCTTAACAAATGTAAATGCAAAAATTAATAACTAATGGCTTTCTTGTTGAAGAAGACGATTATAAATATGAATGCTGTAAAATTTTCAGATGTAAATTATCATGACAATTCATAATCGTTTTGCACCGCGCAAGAAAATTTTGCTAAAACTTTGCATTTTATATTTCTTATACATGTAAATCGAAGTAGATCATTTCAATAACTTAAACAGGTTTTACAAGGTGTTCCAGAACTACCATAAAACCTGTTAATGGCAGATTCCTAGTATCACATTTGAAGACGATTTTTTCTTACAATTAGGAAAAATGTCGAGGGAGGTTATCATTTCTTGCATATTCCCAATTTTTGTCATTATGTATCTTTATAAGCTTTAAATTAAAATTTTATTAAAGTAACTGAAGAATTTGGTTTCGTTAATATTTTATTCTCACAAAGTTTAGTTCGCAAGAAAAGGCTTTATTTTCAATTGCTTATAACTCGAAACCTATTGATGCTTCGACATTTTCCCTAAGAAAAAAATCATCTCCAAATGATACCAGAAATTTATCATTAACAGCAGGTTTCACGGTAATTCTGGGACTTCCTGTATATGTTCGAATCTTCTCAAATTCTCCAACGATCTGTGCAAAATGTCTGCACCTGAAAAAAAATCTTGTTGCATTAAAAGGAGTTCTGATAGATTCAACCAGTAATTATATTTCGTCCATTTTCGAACAGAATTGTTATTAATGCAATAAAATTTGTCTTCCAGTGCGTCGATGACGCTTTACCTTGAAAAGTATCGCGTGACATCTTGAAGAGACGAATAATTAATGATCAATAATTGACGTCATCTTTTACAGTAGGTCGGCGTACGGCACACCGTTGTCGGCCAGACCGGCGACAGTCGAAGAGACTTCGGCATCGTTGCCCCTCAGCGGTATGCAGAGGGAACTTCACACAATTCTCAAGGAATTGCAGTTCATCACTAGCCGCATGAAAAAGTCGGACGAGGACGGCGAGGTCATTAGCGACTGGAAGTTCGCCGCCATGGTGGTCGACAGGTTGAGATGCTTTTAAATCTTTCATGTGGTCTCGTGCAGAATCGCGCGCGCTCGCGGAAAAATCACGGACAAAGAGATAGCTCTTACAGCGATGCTCGAAATTCAGATTTCTCATTTTTCGCACAAGGAAAAACTCATCCACCATTTATGCGCCGAACCATTAACTTAACTCTAGACGAATCCATTATGTAAATGTTTCAAACTTACTTAGTAATTATCAGCTATTCTTCAAGAATTTCTTCAGCATTTCTATTCTCAATAATTTCACGATCGCATAAAGTTCATTTACTGGAATAATGTCAATCGAATTGTTGTGAATTTTGATCATCTCGCGACAGATGTGTCTTCATATCTGTTATGTGCAATTTAAATTTCTTTCCAAACGGAATAATTTTTTCGTCTTTATTATTTATCTAAACGATAAGAGTTATTCTGCAAATCGACTTACAAAAATAACATGAAATTTTTTTCTTCCATGAAATCAAGGCTTTGTCTGTTCATCTTCACGTTATTCACGGTTTTGGCCACGGTGGTGATACTGTGTCGTGCGCCACACATAATCGTCCAGTAATAGACTGCCCCGGTCGAACCGAAAAAAAACATGCACAAAAAATGCCAGGGATAGCGCCTCCTGGAATTTGGTAAGAACATCAATTACACGTCTCTCTTTTTATCACGGCTGCCTCCTCCCTTTCCTCATACCTAATATTCAATTGTGTTCGCGAAAAGTTTTCCCAATTGTTTCTATATTTTTTTTATTTCATATTTCATTCCGTATATGTTCCGTAAAAAAGAACGCTAAAAAAAAGTAACTGTCTAAAAATCTCAATATTATTTTTACCGAAATATATATATATATCGTCGGTTCGATCTGTCGAAGCTCGTAAATTCCCTTAACAATATACGACTAGTACGTCGCTCGTATGTGCAAGATCGAAATCAGCCTTCAAATTCGTGTCGTACGTACGTACGTATAGTTCGCAATCATTACGTGCGAATGACACAGGCCAGATGACCATAATGCAGTTAATAATGCGTGGAAATGTTAACAAGCGCCGTGTAACAAGCTCGGCTCATTGGCCGTTGCACGCGTTGAAAATTTCCAATCGCGCCAACGCGAATGTCTCTCTATTTCGCTATTTCGTCGTACTAATTGCCGGTCGGTGCCTCCAGAACGCAGGTCCGGGTCGCAATTATTTATGCATTAACTCGGATGTATACGATCATTCGATTATATAATTTCAAGTACTCGATCCTGCTTCGTTATTGGCTTCGAATAGTACGATAGTACGAAATTATAGTGTATGCAATTAGTGAAGAATATTTATTATTTGCTTATAACAATTTATAAATTAACGGGCTGTTAATATTCACGAAATGCCACGTCTCTCTATATAGGAAGCATATAACGTTTTAATTACATAATTATGCAGCGAAAACTAAAACATTAATTAGCTTCAACTTGCGTGGCCTTTGTATGCTTTAGTGTGCTTGGAAAAAAAAGAAATTACATATAAAAGATTTTTCTTTCCCCCTTTTTTTCCTCTTTGTTTGTGTAATCCAGGAAATTCCCGACCCAATTTATTTTCTTAATCTTCTCGAGTTTAATTACACGATATTCCCTCTCCCAAATCGAAGATTAAAAAGTTATCGGAATATATTAGCCAGATGGAAACTCTCACATTTCGAGCTTTAGAACTGCTGAAAAACTAAAAGTCCGACTCGAAGGATTTAATAAAAAAAAAAAAAAATAATAAAAAATAAAAAAAATAAACTCGCAAAATCGATAGCCGCGCATATACAAATTCCACGGGAGAATCCTGTTCGTCCTAAAAGCAGTCCTAAAATCAGTTTCCTAGAAATGAACAGTCAGACATCTCGCGTTTATACTCGCGACTTTCTTCTTCCTCCGCAGGAACGACATCCGATTCGAGGAGGCGGCTACGAGGAGCGCGTCGAAGTGACGGGAAAGCGCAGAGAAAGAAAGACGGACTCATTAGCCCCTTTCGCGCCCTTCTGCGCAACTCACCCCTTACGGGAACAAGAGAACGTTCTCTCGTTTTCGGATTTCTCACGCTGGAAAACGCCGGGTTGTGCCGCCCGGTTTCTTTTCGCGCGACGTGCTTTCACTTAGGCGATATAATAGGGCTAGCAAAAGAGTGAGACCACCAACAACGTTCACGAGAGAAGCAACGGAGGAGATGTTGGACACGCGGCAGCGGTGGCGGACCTCCTCGTCTTTCGAAACGGGGAGAGAGAAACACGCATGCTTGGCAAGAAAGAAAAGAGAAAATAATGCTTCCGGAATTTTGGAGAAGAGAAGAAAACGAAGAGGAAGGGAACAAGGACCCGATCGCCGATCATCACGCTTCGTTGCGGCTGCGTTCTTTCGTTTTAAGTGACTTAATTAACTAGTTCTACAGTGCGAAACCGGTAGGTAATGATGCGACGCGACGCGAGCTGGACGAAGATTTAGAGGCCATCTCTAAATCGTAATTAAAAAGGAAGAAGGTAGGTGCAGACGAGAGTAAGAAAGAGAGAGGACGCGCTGCCAAGTGAGTCTAAATGCGCGTAAAATCGCGGGGCTCTCGCCGATCGTCGATTCCGATCGACGATCGCCGATCGATCTTCCTTCGGCGATCGGGATCGATTTCGAGCTTCGTCGAGCGATGCGATTTTTCGCGGATAACGCGATAAGTGGACGCGCGACGGAGAACGATCTGATGAACACATATGGGCAAATCGCGAGAGAAGGAGAGATGATCGCGCAGTCCTCGGAAGAGCGTTGTTGCGGCCTTTCGATAATAGTAACAATAACGATATAATAAAAATATTTCTTATAATAATAAAAATAATAATTAACGATATAATTGACTGTTAGTCGCTTTGCGCGCGCGCGCGCGCGCTCGCACGCACGCGCGTTACGACTGAGTCGTAATTAATTAACGCCGCGATCTGTTGAGGGTCTCTCGTGGGGAGCCGAGACGGATTTTCAAATAACTGCCAAATATTAAGAAAAACAAACTCGAGTCAGGGGTGTTCAACCTTCTCTCAAAACGGTGGGAAAGTAAAAAGTGCGGCCTGGACGATCGACAGGGTGAACGCGCGCGGCGCCGTGACCAAATGACGAGAGCCGAGACGAATGGCGACCCGTGTTCGCCGTTTGTTTCGCGTTCGACGAGGATCCTATAATACATATATATATACAATATATTTTCCCTCTATATACAAATCCGCGGTTCAGCCGTGCGTTTCTCCAAAGGCGGGCCCTCCCTTTTCCTTTCCCCTATCCACGGATTACGCGAAGTCTAATAAACTTGCGCCACCACCGATCGCACGATCGACCCTCCACGCTCGATATATTTTTCCACGTTCTCCCACGTTATAAAAAGCCCTCCTGTCTCGAAATGCGTAAGGGATTCCTTCGCACTTCCGCAAAACCCGCCAATATTATCACACCGCGTGTATTATTTCTTGGTGCGTGCGTGTATTACTTCCTGGTGCGTGTGCGTGTGCATGTGCGTGTGCGTGTGTGTGTGTGCGCGCGCGTGTATGCGCGAGTGTATGAATGTGTGAGTGTATATCTGTGTGTATGGCTCTGTGGATGCGTGGGTGTATGTATCGGACACGCGAAAAATATACAAGCGCACAAAAGAGCGGTCGCTTATTTAGTCGATCGGCGAAAGAGGATCGATCGATCGATCGGCCGCCCATTCGTCCGAGGATCGTGCAAGCCGCATGAGAGCCGCGTACGAAAAAAAAAAAAAAAAAAACGCGCGGCGTAACTTACTGAGCGACCACACACCCGCACGAAGGGGCGAACGAACCGCGCGCGAAAAAAAGAAGAAAAAAAAAAACTGCCAAGTTGGACCACCCCTGCTTTCCGTACAGAGTCATCACGCGCGTACCCTCGAGTACCTCGAGGACCTCCGGTGTGAATCCGTCGTGGATCGTGATCGAGCACCGCGAGAGCGATCGACATGCATGTATATATTCACAACGCCTATCGCGAACGACGTTGATTTATTATATCTCGGTGGATCGCACACACAATTTCTTTCGTTCGACTTCCCGCTGTCAAATCCTTTGACGATTGTAATTTGAAATGGGACCAAGTGTCCCAAATTGCGTCACGCTTTTCTGACCTCTGTTGCTATTCGTCGTGCTACTTTTCAAGGCGAATCTCTTGAATGATGTGTCAATATAGAAGTAGAGTCGCAGATGATTAATCGATAAATCAAGGGACTTCTCTAATACAGAGTGCCCCGTATTTAGCGAATCACTGATTTACAGTAGATTCCAGACGGTATTTGGAGACGATTTTTCCTTAGCGAAAATGTCGAGATACCAATAATTTTCGAATTATAAGCGATTGAAAATAAAGGCTTTTTCGCAAACTAATAATAAGTCTTGTAAAAATAAATATCAACAAAATCACATTCTTTAGTCGATTTCAGATAGAGTTTACTTTAATAGAATTTTAATTTAAAACTTAGTTACAAAGATACATGATAGCAAAAATTGAAGACATGCAAAGAATGATGATCACCCTCGACATTTTCGCTGTTGTGAGAAGAAATTGTTTCCAAATAACGTCGAGAATCTAACTGTATGTATATATCAATGATCCGCTGAGTATGGAACACCTTGTATATATTCTGATAATATAATTTTTCTGCTATATAAAAAAGTATTAATATTTCCATAAAAAATATATGCCCTTTTTAAGAGGAAAAGAAGATAATCATAAATCATTTCAAAGTAATAAACTCGTTTTATACCGATTACAATGGCCGATGTTTGTAATGGCGGATGATGTAAAGAAAACTTGTAACCCCGAACAAGCTAATCAAACAATTAATCCTCGAGGGCGGAGGGAGATGAGAGAGGGATGCTGGGAAGCTTCCGGAGCCCTCATTAGCCTCTCGCTGAATTCGTCGTCGTCGGGCAAGTCGATACTTTTACATACCACGCGGCTAATTACGAACCGACGTGCGATTCCGCTTGTTATCGTGTATCACGTGGATTATACGGATCAGCTTTCTTTTCATGCAAAAAAGTTTCGTCGTTGATTTTTCATTTATTTTATCGCCATTATATGCAAGCTTTTTTTGTCAATTTCATGCGGATTGATGGCGTATTATTCAGAATTTCAAATTACATTCACGTTTAGTCATCGTAACAGTTGTTATTACAGATAAGATACGTTTGCACGCTTTAATGGCATTAAAAAAGAGGGAAATATCTCGAAAGAAAATGTTGCGCAATAAAGAAAACAAATAAATATCATAAGACTTTAACGATCACATAACAGGTAGTTGGATAATTAATATTAATTCAGAAAGATCTTGTATATATTTAATCGAGGAACTAAATTTCCCCTCTCTAACTTTATAATATTGTGTAATTGATAATATCATTATTAAATTACGCAATTTTCATCATGATTAAATTGCACTATTTTTTTCATTCTATTTTTTTCATTTGCTCCAACAACATGTAAAATCAATCCTACCTCGACGATATATATAGAATAAATTTCACGTAATTGACAAGATAACTTTAATTACGTATGTCAAATTATAGTCGCCAAAGGTTTTAAAGCTGCCAAACAACCCCTTCCTTTTTCCTTCTGTCTTTTTCTAACGAAACTGTACGAAATGACAGAATGATATAATCGTTCAAACGTGAACAAAAATATAAAGATGAGTAATATTCAAGTGTTCTGACTAGCAATACTCAGACAGATATGCATGTACAAAAGTGAGAGAAATCGTTTATGTGAGACAAGTAAGTACATTCAATTGGTACACGAGTACATGAATACACATCCACGATGGACTGTTTAAAATTACGAAGACGACAGTATATTTATCTACCCACTCTCTCTCTCTCTCCCTCTTCCTCTGCTCTTTCTTCTGAAACAAGCTAGATAATCGACGATAATCGATCATCTACCGCTACAAAATCTCATGAAAATCGCGATCCACCGGGTAAAATCGACGAGGAGCAAATAAAATCAAATCCGGAAATCATTGCAGAATCGTTTCTTGGAACGGTTTCAGTGATTATCGATCATTGCAGACAATCATTTCGTGCGACACGTAGATTTGCAGAGCGCGTGTATTAGGGACGAAGGAATTGTGATAAAATTGTGAATCGCACGCGAGAGAACGGGACAAAGGTGCGCGGACGCACAGAACAATTTTCGAGCACAACGAATCGCGAATAGAATTCGCGAGCACGCGAGAGAGGTGACCAAAGGATCGTTTGTATCGCGCAATTTCTCGACGGTGATGTCGCTAGAAATATCGTTTCGGAGTTACGTGTTGCAATGTGTTATTTCTACACAATCGCTGCAAACTACTACTGCGCTCGTAGTACGGCTTGCTGTAATATAATAATTAAATGGAAGTCGACGATTGGATCGAAATAAGGAATTCTGTACGTTTGCGATTTGTATCGCCAATTAATTAAAATATGTATACGCGATTAAAGAAGTAACGCGAAGTATATATTCCTAGGCAGCTTAAGCCTCCAAGTTAACAAGGAGCGATTGTAACATTTATAATAATTGCGAGTTGCGTTCCTAATCATTGAATCGTAATCATCGAATCAGCTAATTCGTAATCAGTGATTCAATAAATAATAATCAATAAATAATAATTTGTTCACTCGACTTGATATTCGTTTGAAGCTAGCTTTGCCAAGTCAAGCATTATAGTCTCGTTCTCTTGCAAGCAGTTTCTTTTCTCAGATAATCGACGAATTTTTTTCTACGATTCCTCGATCTAGTTCATCAATCTAGTAGACATCGCGACATCGTTGAATTAAATACAAACCCACGACGCGAACTTCGATCCTAGCTGGACCGAATCGCCGGAAAAGTCAGCCGAGATTTCGAGATGCGGCCGATCGACGACAGATTCACCCGGAGTTTTCTCCGAGATCTAGCGTAATTTTCTAATTCATCTCACGCGCGCGCGCCACGTAATAATCGATAAGTATACGATGAGTATTAAAGCGAGTGGTGGCGACGACCATATAGTGTTGACGGCGATATTTACGGATGGCGGACGCTAAAAAAAGAGAGAAAAAAAAACAGAGAAATCCGAGGACGCGTCGCGCGCGTGTAACGTCAAATCAAGTTCGGGACGAGGATCGCACAACCTGCGATCTCGAGAGAAAATAGCGACGCATCGCTATATAATTAATATATAGGCGATACCTTGGGCAAGAAAGATACACATGTGTATGTATCCGACGCAGATCCGTATCTCGCTAACGCGCTTTTAAACGTTAAAAGAAAAATTGATTGTTGTGCTCGCCACGTTGATTTTGTTGAACACACGTGATTCTCTCTCGTATTAGAAGTAAAAAATACCTCGAGATCGGACGAGCGTTAAATGCGAAGCGAAATGTGCACGGAAGTCATCGTATCCTCCTACGTATAGACGTACCTAATATAGGGCACATGTGTATCTTCGATGCCGCCTCACCGGAGATTTTTTTATATATACGATACACAAGGGCGCAAAAAAAGACGACGACGGGGGAGAGTAGTGCATTGTTAATTCCAAAAAAAAAAACGCTCAGCAAAACGAATCTAGCGAGTATGCAGCGTAGAGAAAAATTTTACATGGTGTTTGTACATTTAAGGACTAAACCGCGTTACACACGGAGGACCACTCTGTGATCGAACCGCCGTACTACGTAATTAACGAGAGCATTGAAGGAGCGCGCGCAAGAGACAAAAAAGAGGGAAAAAGGATGAGAGAGGAAAATAAAAAAATTGGAAAACAAAAAGAAAATGAGTCCGTGTAACATTAAGCGAATTAAGCTCTAGAAGCTCGACGATGTACGGTAAACGGTTTGGTTAGTGTGAAGGCATGTAGTTATTATTACTATTGTTTACGCCGAAGGAAACGACGATCATCGTTAGTGCTATTATCACACACGCACATATACACACAGATACACGCACATATACGCACACATGTACACATACATACATACACACACGCATACGTACATCGCAGGAGACTATTACTATTAATATGATTACTATTTATCACTATTACTAGCGCTACCGAATATTATTATTATGGTTATCATTGCTACTATTATTATTATTACTAATGTCGTTACTAACTATACTATTACTATTACTATTACCGCTAGAAGCTACACTTACTATTACCTATCTACCGCTGCTCTACTGTCGTTACTATTAATTGTGTGCTAACTTCTCTAACTCTCGCCATCGGGCGTGGAGCGCGCGATATAGCGAGAGATCGCGCACGATTTTAGTCGATAAGCACGATTTGCGTTTTTAATATTCAAAATGTGGTGTTTTTTAATATACGCGCGGATAAATATACAGAGAGAGAGAGAAAAAGAACGAGAGAGACAGACAAACGGACGAGTGACAGAGCTCAAGCGATATCACGACATATCCCGAAATCGCGTTGATCGAGAATTTATAATATTACGACGAGCTGTCGTAGGAAATCATGCGCACGGTGCTTTGGTAATCGACTTTTGTAAGGCTTTCGAAATAATAATGCGAAGCCGCGACACATTTTTACAGAGAGGGCCTGTGGAGGATATTCCTTCGTCGCGTTCTCCAAAACAATTCGAAAACTTTCGCGGAAACATTCTTCTTTTCAATCGGCCTTTTCGATCGGAAGTAAACGAGTAGAATTTCGATAGAGTCGTTGCTGTCGCATTTTTAATCTGGGCAACAATCGCGAGAGACGACGCGTATATAATACAGTGATAGAAAC